AATCACTTGGTAATTACTCTAACTTTACGCTAGGAAATATAAGTCGGTGGAGAGGTCAAATGAAGTAAGTTGAATTTCAAGTTTCCGGTCTACTCTCCAACACCTCCCAGCATACCAGCCTCTTGTCCCCTCCCCCGACACTTGACCCTCCCAAGTGTGTTTCTCCTGACTGGAGAGTCTGGGGGAGACTCTCCCCTGCCTATCAGGAGTCCACTCTCCACATCTTCAAGCACTGAAGAGCAGGATGGGGAAATGACAAAAATCACAGAGGAGAGGCCAACAAAGTCACAAAGAATAATTGTGGATGTCTTCAGAGAAAGGAGTGGAAAACTCTCGTGAAGAGCGTTTGATGAGCTTCACATAACAGGACAGGAGGAACCTTTCTACACTGCCGGATGCTAGCTACTCGGAGCGGTGCAATGTCAGATACTCTTGACAAGTGGAGAAATTGTGTCTATATAGGTGTGATCGTATTTACAGGGGCAAAGTTAAATTCCCCACCCTAGAAACCGCTTTCTTATGCCTCCCTCTGCCCACATGCAATCTTCCCTACAAGTCTGCGATAACCTGTGGCCACAGACCACACCCTTAATCCTTAATCAACTCTCTTACCTGCACAGCATTGGGTCCCCAAGACAAAAGGCAAGAGAGGGTATGGCTTAAAACCCTTCAAATGGAAAAGCTAACAGCACATACCCTGATAGTGTTTTAGAAAGAACATTTTCAATTTATGTAAGAAGAACACAGTCTACTGAGATGAAAAGTGAGCAATAACAATTAGACCATCACCTCAACCATCTCCTGACACAAACAGTCAGACATACAATTTACAAGCCTAGTTCATCTGCACCTCTCTCTGAACTCTGGCATTTCCCAAAGAATATCAGTAAATATTGGGGGGGGGAACCCCACCTTCAGTATTTTTTAAAACCCCATGTTTCTATTAACACAAAATCCCACCAATATTAAGAAATATTTGACAGAGTTTTAGGCATGCAAATTTAAACATAAGCAATCTACTTGTTAATTTCTGAATTAACTTTATATATGAACACACTAAATAAACACTGTTTAAGATGCTAGGAGAAAGGAGCTTACTCAATTTGAAAAGTTATAACAACCTGGAATGTTATATATATTATTCTCAAATGTTTGGCCTTCCAAAATACTGGTACCATGCAGAGTGAATTCATTTGTTTACTCAGTGTTTAAACTGTACTGTTGCTAGATTGTGATCTTCAATCCACAAAATGCCTGTCTTTGAATGAACTCGGTTATACGCTGTTTGAATGGCCACCTCTGGCTCCAGTTAAATATTTTCTTTTGTACCCACATGATTGCAGCCACAACTGGTTAAAACAGATTCTAAAATACAATATTTTGTATTTTTACCTTCTAATCTTCAAAAAAATAAGTCATACCTTCTGGACTTTTTTTATTACAAAAATTCTATAAGAGCTATTTTATAAAAGAAAAATTTTAAATTAATATTATTCAGTCAACAGTATGAGATCTTTTAAGGTATTTATACTTTGAGAACTAAAAAAAGAAACTAAGCACCATAAATAAAAATCATACAGGAATATTCTCCTATAAAATACACTACTTTGAATAAGAAGAGGCTTTGCGGAATGCACTGTAAAACTAGATTTAAATAAGTTATATACTATTGAAGTCAAAGTTATTAATGTTTGTATTAGGAAGACAAAAAACTTATAAAGCTTAATTTCAATAGAAAGGGAACAAACAATATTTTAATTAATCAAAGAAAATCATATTGCTTTTTAAATAAGGTTAGGTGATATCATATTGCTTTATATATGCAACTGAACTATAAAAAACAAGCTTTTTGGCAGAAAAATCAGAGTACTTTAAATTATATCGACACAAGAATTGCAAGCTGCCAAGTGGCTGTCATGAAAACTCCTCCTATATGTTACTTGAGACATAGGATACGGTTTTAACTCATTTCCAAAACACTTAACCTGTGTCTTTCATGTAATAATCTAAAAGTTGGTCATGTCAAAGAGAACCTATCAGACTTCTAGGCTGCTCTTCTGTTTCTGTTACTAATGTAAATCCATTATGTAAGAGCCTCTCATCAGATAAAGGAGAAAGGGAGGGAACGCAGAATTCTATTGCCAATTTCCTTGTTAGGTAAGCTGCTCTTTGAAACAACAGGAGGAAGTGGGGAGAAGTCCCTCTATCAAGCTTCTAAGATTCACTTAGGCTTTAGTTTTAAGAGTTCATATTTTTTAGGAATGTTTAATTTCAAGAGGCAAATTATTTTGTTTGAGAAGCCTATTTTCTCAATCTGTACCAGATATGCCAAGATTCTTAAGGGGAGGAAATAACCAAGCATCAAAGATGAATACCACAGAGTTTTGCATGAAGATGCCAGTTTTAAAGCCTGAAGATGTCAGTATTATGGCTCCTGAATTTATCTACAGCTCTAGCACAAACATAAATGCCTTCTCCAATCCTTTTTGACTTTGATCTTGACATTGACTGAGCCCCTAGAGTTCCAGAGCTTTTCCTCCATGCAAACTTTAGTTATGATGATTGTGAGTCAAAGAGTAAAACCACAGTAAGTCAAGCAATTATTATGTGAAAAAAGTTAACTGGCTAATTTGATACATATTATCACCTGACTAAAGTCATTATTCTAAACTCACTGTTTAACACTATCTCCTATTTTAAGCGCACTTATAAAATTTAGTGCAGAAAATTATCAACATGACTATTTTTTAATACCCTTATAAAACACCAACATGACAGAATTATTCTTTTAAAATGTTTACATTAAATTAGAAACGTTTCTTAAAACCTAGTCTATGAATTTTTATTCAAAGTCATATAAATAAAAGATTTTATATTAACTTTGTTTTTCTTCATAGTGTTATTCTGTAATTTAGCAAAGAGCACGATATGGATGTCCTGTCCTAAAAGTCTAAGTCCCAAATGTTGGAGTCCAGGAAGTGTTGGGTTAGATGGCCTTTACAATTTATAAGGGTAGTTACATAAAGAATCACTATCAGATACACAGATTATAGGACACAGTGCTTTTAAATAACTTTAAAAATGTTCAGAACCAGTATAATGATTTTTGCATAACTTTGGAGTTCAGGGGTTTAGGAGACAACACTTAAAAAAAAACTTCAAATAGAATTTTTAATTCTTTGACAATAAAAGTACTAGCTTTCTATGTAAAGCTTCATAGACATAGACTGTCTCTCTGAACAAGGCCATATTTACTATACACTAGTGATCTGGATAATATTGACCCAATTTGTTTTTATTTAAAAATAGAGAACATCCATATATGAGAACCACCAATATCTCTGTGAATCAAGTCTAGTTTTAAAAAAATAGAAAAGAAGAAAAGGAAGCAAGTGTGAATGGGAAACAGTAAACATTCCTAAATGGTCTTCAAGAGGCAGAAAAAGCAAAAAAACCTTAAAACATCCAGATAATGACATTTCAGTAATTTTGGAATAAATATTTCTCAGACTCAAATATTCAAGATTATCATATAAAAAAAACTGCATATTAACAGACAAAAATCACCCATTACAATTAACAGCTCTACACACGTGTGTGCAGGCGTGCATGCATGCGCACACGCACACACACACACACACACACACACAAAATCCCTCTGACATTCACACACATTTATACTGAAACCAGTTTGAGGAGATCTATTAGAAAGACTATATACCCATTCCGAGTAGTTGTTTAAAGAAGCACATTTATAAAAAACAAGTAAGTGAAAATCCACAACTATATCAAACTGGACATTTCTAAGTTGCCTAAGACTCAAACAAATTGGGAGTATGGATTCAGATTCGAGTAGAATCACACTGATTTCCTTTTCAAGTTACACACACTTTATCCCACATGCACCAAATGTACCAGAAGTGTGCAGGCCCCCAATTTAGAAATCCCTCCAAGAGCAAGTCAGGTGGATGCCTCAGAGCCCCTGCCAGCAAAAATTCATCACACTTAAAAACGATGCAACCTTCTGGTTAAACTGTACGCTTTCTGATGTCACAATCCATGTGGCATTCTATGACAAGTGTGTTTTCCTTCTGCCCAGACTTAACGGAGCAAGAACAAGCAGGCTTTTGAATCAGTGCTCCACTTGAAGTATTTGCTTGCTTGTGAGATTTATACTCAACTGTAGTTTGGCTCTCTTATAATGTAATTCCTGGGCTATACACGTCTACAAACTGACAGAAATAACAGGAGATGTGAAAAATGCAACAATACTAAAACCAGATGTTGGTGTAAAATTCCAGGACCATTTATTTGTGCATTTCACCTTTTAATGTGCAATCTCTATGTTGAAAACAAAAGGCTTTTTTCACTCTTAGAATACCTAGAACCATGAAACGTTTAGAGGAGATGAAGTAGGAAATTTATGGGATGGGGCCTTGACGGGGGTGAGGGGGTGGGGAGTAAAAGAGAAGCTGAGAGAAGGAGAGTATGAAGGAGAAAAAGAATGCACCCAAATCCAAACAGGCGAGATAAAGGTCAGAGTTACTATGATTTCTGGATAAGCAAGGAGTTAAGAAGAACAACACCTCTTCTTAGGCTCAATTGCCTTTGCGCTCAAGAAAGTGGTAGATTTTCTCCCCCTAATTTTACCAAGAAGTGTCTTACCCAAACCTTCTAGCTTTGGAGAAACAAAAGAGTTGCATTTGAGGTTACATTTATGAAAACACCTACATTCAGAAGTCAAGGAGAGTAGTGTTGCTAGTTAGTTTCTTAAAGGGTGAGTCATGGGTTTATCATAAACAACCGCAAACACCCCTTTCTTCAAAAGACTCACTTTAGTATTCTACTGTGAGTTTCTTATTTGTTTGGTTGCTGTGAAATGATGATCCAAAAGCTATCACAAGGCACTACAAGCTCTCGTTCTCCCACAAACACCTGCTTTAATAGTCAAAAATAAACAGCAAGATTTGGTTACTCCACATTTTTATTAACAAACTTACATGATTTCCTGTTGGAAACTTTCAAGGGCTGAACTAATATTTCTGGTCTTCTCAGAGCCAATCTCCTGGGGGAAAAAGAAGGTCAATGCCTATCAATTTTCAGTACAGATCCAAGATTAATATAACACCAAAATATTAAAAGTCCCAAGGGGGGAAAAAAAAGGGAAGCCAGGGGAAAAAAATGAGCACAATGCAATCTATTCAAATTAAAAAATAAAACCTCTACTTTCAGAGTTTTATAAATCATCCCCACTCCAAAATCACTCTTCATCCCCCCCCCACCTTTCACATCAATATAGTTTCAGATATTAATGTGCTATTTTTCCCTTTGCTTCATAACAAAAACCGAGTATGACCTGGTCCGGTCGTATTATTTTTGGTCATTATTCATCCTTAGTTAGACAAAACAGAAATCCAAACCTGAGGGATAAAGGATTCTAAAGCAAGGTTTTAGTGCTCATTTTATCACAACTCTCCTCGAGTGATATTTTGCAGAGAACAAAAGGTCATTTGAAGAGAGACCATTACTGCATGCCAGTAGCTCACCTTTCCTGGAAATGCTTTGAGGGAATCAAGCCTGCCCTGGGATTGGCATCACCTGCGTGCTTTGCTTGCCACCATGTTGCATCATCTTGGCTCATAATCTGAAGAATATCTCCCTTTTTGAAAGAAAGCCCAGCTTCCTTACATGGAATTGCTTTATCCTCATTAGGGTCATAGTCAAAGAGGGCTTTGATAAACATCTGGAAGAGAGTTTCATTTAAAAGGAATATAAAAAGTAAATGTGAAAGGGCCAACATTCTTCTCTGATTTAAGGATAATTTTTGTTTAAAAAAGAATAATTTTTTATTTTATTTTTTAAAAGATTTTATTTATTTATTTGAGAGAGAGAGAGCACAAGCAGGGGGAGGGGCAGAGGGAGAAGCAGGCTCCCTGCTGAGCAAAGAGCCCGATGGAGCCCCATCCCAGGACCCTGGGATCAAGACCCGAGCCGAAGGCAGATGCTTAACTGACTGAGCCACCCAGGCATCCCCCCCAAAAAGAATGATTTTTTAAAAAGGGAATATGAAAATGAACTCACTGTGACAAAGAGGGTATGTATTAGATGGGGAAACATTAGCGCCCTCCACCTCCAAAACAAACAAAAAAGGTTTTTTAGGGAATGATTACCTTGCCTTCTTTAGATGGTGTCTCCTCTTTGATGCTGGGTATGATCTTAAATGTAATTGCTCCCTGAGACTGAGCCTGATAACAGAGGAAAGACTTATCAGAGAACTTCTAGAGCCTGGGGAAGGAAGGCAAAACAGGTAGAGAAGGGAATGATTCTGAAAATTTATAAGCTTGGGGTTTCTACTCTTAGATAAACCAAACTGAGAAAACTATTTTTGTAGAAATTCTTGCAATATGAGAAGGCACTCAAGTTTGTCAAGTAAGTTAAAAAAACACTAAACGCTAAATCCACTTTTACCTCCTGTGCACTTTCAAAATGCTGATGAATGTACTACCATCCATGTGGAGCTACCTCAGAATAGAAACACAGAACCTGCAGATTGCCTTGTACAGACAACATTACAGATGATGTGCAAGGTTCAGACGATATTTTTAAGTATCGGCATCCACGTTTTTAAGAACAAAATACCTGTACTGTCAGCAATAAAGTTATATGATTCACTATATACAATATATATACATTCACTGCAATGCTCAGCAGAAAAATATAATGAAGAACATTCACTGCTATTATATTCTGCTTAGTGAGTAGAACACCAAGTGTAATAGATTAATTAAAAGATGAAAAGATTAAGTACCTATTAATTTAATGAAAGCAAGCGACAACAATACAGGCCGTTCTTTTCCAACTATCTCAGACCACAGCAGATGTCCCTTTCATATACTCTCATGTCTTTCTCTGTTTCTCTCTTTCTAGCATTTCTCATAACCATACAAAGTAATCATTTATACAATTATTTCTTAATATCTGTTATCACTGCTAAATTTGAAGCTCCACGAAAGCACTAAGTATCTGGCACATATTTGAGAGGAAGGAGGGAGAAAAGAGAAGAGGAAGATGTGATCAGGCAGAGGAGAGGAAGGAAGGAGAGAGAGAGAGAGAGAAGGGAGAATGGGTAGCTATCTCTGAGATGCACTATCGTAAACAAGGGCTCTCTTCTGGGGGCAGGTGGGAGGGGAGGCCCTGATCTGTATTGTTTGCCAATGTCCATGGAACCATAGCCAATTTCCATTTACCAGTGTGAAGTCTCCGAAAGCCCAGTTGGAAAAAGCTGCATAGAATCAGCTCTTGCAAATATAAGGAGCAGCTCCAGGACAGCACAGAGACTCAAGTAAAATGGGGCTTTAACAGTATAAATATCAGAATTTTATAACACGATTGATTTCAAAAGGGTAATATCACTGTTATTACTTATCATAAAACAACTGACAAATCTTATTAAGAATTCATATAACACCGAACTGCATAGGTAGAGAGAAAGCAAGTCTTCTCTATGACCTCTTTCCAGTCTACTAGTTTGTGTGTGTGTGTGTGTGTGTGTGTTAATGTGTGCAAAGCCCTTAGAAAAAGGTCATTAAGGGCTCAACCACTGTAAGAATTACTAGTATTACTAAGTCATATAGGTCTACCAGCCATTGTGACTGCCATCATGTGGATGAATGATTAGTCAATCAATGCAACCTTCTTGCTATTTCTAAATATTTTTTACAATCTTGCTTATATCATACACCTGCCAAATTATTTCCGACGGGTGAATTCCCAACAACTGAATTTCTTGATTAAAGGGCATATAAATTTAAAATTTTGATGGTTTCAGATAGCCATCTCAACAGGATCTATTAATGCATCCCACCACTGGAAACATATGAGTAGAGCTATGTGCCTAGAATCTGCTGACTCTAGCCATTATCAAGCTTTCAAATCCCTCCAATATTTTTCAGTCATGTCTTCTTTTGTAAATTTTTCTATAAATATTTTTTCTCTTATTGATTTTTATGAACTCTCTACACATTAAAATACCTTCTTTCATATATATGGACAATATTTTTCCTAAGTGTCATGTGTCTTTCAAGTTACATATGGCATCTTTTCCTATCAAGTTTTTAATTCTTACAATCATCTCAGTTATTTTTCTATTTGAATTTCACATCAAGTTTAAAAAGTCTTCATTTTTTTGATTTTTTAAAAACATTTAATTCGTTGGGATTTGTTTTGGGTATAGTGTAAAATAGGGACTGACTTTATTATTTAAAACTGAATCATCAATTTATCCAGTACCATTTATGAAATGACTTCACTGTTTTCCCATGGATTTAAAATGCCATCTTAATCATATACTAAATTTTCATATATACAAGGGTCTGTTTGAAGATACTAAATTCTATTTCTGTATGTTTTTGTTTTCATACATTAACAGAGACAGTCTCCCTCATTTAATCCTTACAAATGAACTGGAGAATTAATACTGTCAAGGCCTAAAATAATTTTGTTCCGTTTTAGATTTCACAAGACATCTAAATTAGTTTCACTGCTATAGATACCTAGAAAGCACAGCCTATAGTCTGGCCATGTCGATGGGAGAAGGGAAAAGAAAAATGCTTCATGAACAACAGAGTAGATGCCACCTATTAAGTACCTATTTGGAACAGGCCCTGTAATAAACTCTTTACATACATTAGCTCATTTAATCCTCAAAACACTGCCGTGAGGTACTTACCTCTTCTTGTTTTCATTTTGTAAATGAAAACACTGAGGTAATGCAAAGATTAAGGTTATTTTCCAAGGACATACAGGGATTAAGTAATGAAGCTGGGATTACAACTCTAGACAGCTAAATCCAAATCCTATATTTATAACCAAGTCTGAAACATACTGATTCAATTTCATTTTTTATTGCAATTTTAAAATATATTTTCAGCTTACCAGAATCTGAATTATTTCCTCAGGCCTTTTATCCTCTACTGGAATCCCATTCACTTCCCTAAGTTCATCACCAACATGAATAAGACCTGAGAAGTAGCAAATTTGGTAAATTAGCAGAGTTACCTACAAAAGAACCGCAATTTGCAATGTGTCCATACTCAAAGCTTTGTTTCATTCCCTTAATACATTTGCGGAGACCTTTAGGCTTCTCAGGTATCGGATTCTGTGCCTCTAAACAGCAATGAATCCAAGACTACCATGTTATAATGCCGGCAAAGAAAGGACATCAGCATCCCGGTCTTTGTCTAGAAATGTATATTATTTTCACCTAATAAAAGAATTTTTATTTTGTTTCAAAGGCTGCACACATGCAGTAGTACTTTTCAAATCAGAAACATTTGAAACAGATCTTAATATAACTCTGGGAGCCCATGTAAACTGAGATTGCAGAGTGAGATGTATCGTTTATTTCAATAGGTTCCCACAGTTCAACACAGAGAAAAATATCTCACTGTTTTGATGTATTACATCAAAAGATTGTTATCCTCTTAATTACATGTTGGAAATGTTGCCCATGAAACGCAACATGGCTTGTCCACAAGCCTACTGTTGAAACCCTTACCACTTTTTTTTTTTTTTAATCCTTACCACTTCTATCTGCAGCTCCTCCCCTCATGATTCTAGCCACAATGATGGCCCCAGTCTGCTCATCTTTCTTAATGGTAGCTCCCTTTGAAGGAAAACAAAAAAAAGTACTTGTGGGTAAAGCTGTGCATTGGGTGGTCCGAAAGGGAGCAGAAATAAGGACATTTACCTGGAAAAAGTGAAAACAATTACAAAAAATTAAAGGTACAAGGCAGGTGTCTTACAAACACTCCTGACTTGGGACAGATTTTCTATCAGACACATCATCTACGGTTTTCAGCACAACATTTAAGGATTTTTCAAATCTTTAACCTCTTCAACACGATGGAAAATACAAATATCTTCTTTCCATTATAATACCTTGTATTTGAATTATGATTTGTTTTTGCCCCTTGACAGCATTTGTTCATCTCATTTGTCTTTATAATACACCATGAAGAAGGTGGGCTACACTGAGATTAAGTGAATACAAAAATCTTATATAAATTAGAAAACTAAAACCCAGGTCATCTGGCTTTTAGTTTAGTGATCCTTTATTACACCATTATGGTAAAGGAACTCAGCCATAATGATAAAGAAAGAGAAAAAAAAAAGACTTAAACTCCAAAATTAGTCCTATTCCTTACCTAATGCTAAGATAAACTAATGGAAGAAAGATCTGTTACTCCAAGGTCTTTATGTACTAGGACTGTACTTAGTACAAAGAGAACTAACATTTTGGCATAAGATTAGGAAACAATTTCAAAAAGAGTCCAGAAATTCTTCATTTATGGATGTTCAGAAGCAAATTAACTGAATGCTGCTTTATAAGAACATCAGGCACAAATGGTTACTTTGAACACCTTTTTATGACTTTGGTTCTAAGAAACTGGTATTGGTGTAGGAAGGCATTCTACAATGGCATCACACAGCTAAAAAGATGCACATTAGGTGGTGGCAGAATTCACCCTGAAAATCAAATTTTTCTCACATGTCAATAAACACGTGTGTATCATTAAAAAATAGGTATGTAAACAAAATTAGGAATACATTTGTAATAAGTATATTTTATATGATAGCTATCAAATACATATCTAATAACGGTTTTTAAAAAATTAAATAATTAAGTGATCAGATGATTTTGTGATTTTTTATCACCAAGCATGTCCGTTCATGTCCAAAGACTTAAATGAGCATCTCTCCACAATCATAAACACCAAACCTATAAAGACCCATCATTGACTTACCATTAATGGTAAGTTCTGCCTTTATTTAAACAGTTTACTTATAGCCAAGATGACTAGAAATGTAATATTTTTAATAGAACTAGTGTGATTAAATAAACTTTCATTTGCCTTAACAATATCTCAAACCTACCCATCAAAGTATGCCTAATGGCAGAAGGGTCTGGTGACCTAATTTAAGATTAATTGCCCATTTTTTTAGAGCGTTCTTTTTTTCCCCATATTTTCCTTTTTTTAATTGAGGTAAAATTGGCATGTAACATTATATGACTTTCAGTTATACACCATTACAATTCGACACCCGTATGCACTACAGAGATCACCAGCAGAAGTCTAGTTACCACCCATAACCATATAATTGACCCTGTTCACCCATTTTGCCCCCCACCAACCTTCTGGTAGCCACCAATCAGTTGTCTGTATCTATGAGTTTGTTTTGTTTGTTCATTTGCTTTTTTCTAGACTTTACATATGAATAAAATTATATGGTATTTGTCATCCTCTAACTTCTTTCATTAGTATAATACCTTCAAGGTCTCTCCATGTTATCACAAATGGCAAGATTTCATTCATTTTTAATGGCAGGGTAATATTCCGTGTGTGTGTGTATTATATACACACACACACACACACCACATCTTCTTCACCTCTTCATCTACCAGTAGACACTTAGGTTCTTTCCAGGTCATGGCTATTGTATATAATGTTACAATGAATACAGGGGGGGCATATATCTTTTTTTTTTTTTTAGATTTTATTTATTAATGAGAGAGACAGAGTGATCACGAGCAGGGGGGAGGGGTAGAGGGAGAAGCAGACTCACCACTGAGCAGGGAGCCCAATGCGGGACAAAATCCCAGGACCCCAGGATCATGACCTGTGCTGAAGGCAGACGCCTAACCAAATGAGCCACTCAGGCACCCAGGGCATGTATCTTTTCAAGTCAGTATTTTTATATTCTTCAGATAATAGCCAGAAGTGGAATAGATGGATCATATAGTAGTTCTAGTCTTAATTTTTTTAACAGTATGGAGAAGTCTCCATACTGTTTTTCATAGTGGCTGCACTAATTTACATTCCCATAAACAGTGTACAAGGGTTTCCTTTTCTCCACATCCTCACCAACACTTGTTATATTGTCTTTTTGATAATACCCATTCTAACTGACGTGAGGTGACACGTCAAATGCAGTTTTGATTTGCATTTCCCTAATCATTATTGATGTTCAGCATCTTTTCACGTGCCTATTGGCCCATCTGGATGTCTTCTTTGGAAAAGTGTCTATTCAGATCCTCTGCCCATTTTTTAATTGAGTTGTTTGGGGTTTTGTTTTGTTGTTTTATTTATTTATTGAGTTGTAGAAGTTCTTGATATATTTTGCACATTATCCCTTATCAGATATATGATTTGCAAAAATCTTCTATTCAGTAGATTATCTTTTCATTTCGATGATTTCCTGCAGAAGTTTGATGTAGTCCAATTTGTTTTTTGTTTCCCCTGCCTTTGGAGTCAGATCTACAAAAATACTGCTAAGACACATGTTGAGGAGCTTACCACTTATGCTTTCTTCTTTTAGGAATTTTACAGTTTCAGGTATTACGTTCAAGTCTTTAATGCATTATGAGTTAATTTTTGTGTATAGTGCAAGACAGTGGTCAAGTTTCATTCTTCTGCATGTGGCTGTTCAGTTTTTCCCAATACCATTTATTGGAGACTTTCCTTTCTCCATTGTATGTTATTGGCTCTTTTGTTACAAATTAATTGTCCATATTATGTGTGGGTTTAATTTTGGGCTCTCAATTCGGTTCCATTGATCGGCATGTCTGTTCTTATGCCCATACCAAACTGTTGATTAGTATAGCTTTGTAGTATAATTTCAAATCAAGGAGCATGAAGCCTCAAACTTTGTTCTTTCTCAAGATTACTTTGGCTATTTGGGATCTTCCATGGTTCCATACAGATTTTAGAATTTTTGTTCTAGTTCCATGAAAAATGTCCTTGGAATTTTGAGAGGGGACTGCAATGAATCTGTAGATTGCTCTGGGTAGTATGGACATTTTAACAATATTAATTCTTCCAATCCATGACCATGAACTATCTTTCCATTTATTTGTGTCTTCTTTAATTTTTCATCAATGCCATGGTTTTCAGTATACAGATCTTTCACTTCCTTGGTTAAATTTATTCCTAGGCATTTTATTCTTTTTGGTGCGCTTTTAAATGAGATTGTTTTCTTAATTCCTCTCTCTGATAACTCATTATTTATGTATAGAAACGCCAGATTTGTTATGTTAATTTTGTATCCTCCTACTTTACTAAATCCATGTATTTGTTTTAACAGTTTTGGTAGAGTCTTTTGGATTTTCTATATATAGTATTGTGTCAACTGCGAATAGTGATAGTTTTAGTTCTTCCTCCCATGGGTGTCTTCTATTTCTTTCTCTTGCTTAATTGCCGTGGCTAGGACTTCCAGTACTGTGTTGAATGGAAGTGGCAAGAGTGTGCAATTCTCTTCTTGTTTCTGATCTTAGAGAAAAACCTGCCAGCTTTTTACCGTTGAGTATGATGTTAGCTGTGGGTCCGTCATATATGGCCTTTATTATCTTTACTCACTTTGTTGAGTTTGGATCATATAAATGGATGTTGAATTTTGTCCAATGATTTTTCTGCATCTATTAAGATATGATTTTTATCCTTCATTTTGTTAATGTGGTGTTGATTGATCTGTGGGCATTGAACCATCCTTGGATTCCTGGACTAAATCCCACTTGATTGTGGTTTATGATCTGTTTAATGTATTATTGAACTCGGTTTGCTAATATTTTGTTGAGAATTTTTTCATCAGTGTCATCAATGATACTGGCCTGTGACTTTCTGTGTATATGTGGTAGTCTTGTCTAGTTTTGGTATCAGGGTAATGCTTCAAAACTAATGAAGTGCTCCCTCCCCTTCAATTTTTCTTGTGAGAGTTTTAAAAGGATATGTATTAAATCTTTGAATGTTTGATAAAATTCATCTGTGAAACCATCTGGTCCTGGACTTTTGGGAAATTCTGATTATTAATTCAATATCCTTGCTAGTAACCAGTCTATTTAGATTTTCTATTTCTTTATAAATTTTATGTTTTTTATAAATTTTATGTTTCCAGGAATTTATCCATTTCTTCTAGGTTGTCCAATTTGTTGGCCTATAATTGTTCATAGTCTCATGATTCTTCGTATTTCAGTGGTGTCAGTTGTAACTTCTTCATTTCTCATTTTACTTGAATCCTTTTTCTTGAAGAGTCTGGCCAAAGGTTTGTCAAGTTACTTTATCTTTTCAAAGAACCAGCTCTTAGTTTCATTGACCTTTTCTATTGTTTTGTCCTTTCATTTATTTCTGCTCTGATCTTTATTTTTTTTTAAGATTTTATTTATTTATTTGACAGAGAGAGAGCACAAGTAGGCAATGCGGCAGGCAGAGGGAGAAGCAGGCTCTCCGCTGAGCAGGGAGCCCGACGCGGGACTCCATCCCAGGACCCTGGGATCAGACCTGAGCCAAAGGCAGATGCTTAACCGACTGAGCCACCCAGGCACCCCTGCTGTGATCTTTACTATTTCTTTCCCTCTACTAACTTTGGACTTCCCTCTTGTGTAAAATTAGATTATTTGAGATTTACTTAAGGTAGGCCTGTATTGCTATGAGTTTCCCTTTTAGAATCACTTTTGCTGATTTTAAAAATTTGGGTTTGTAGTGTCCCTATTTTCATTTTTGTCCCTAGGTAATTTTAATTTCCTCTTTGTTTTCTTCAATGACCCATTGATTGTTCAATAGCATATTGCTTGATCTCCGTATTTTGGGGGTTTTCCCAATTTTCTTCTTG